CAACTTTTCTTGATTCTTGTCCATTTCTGAGTTTCCCTTTGCACATATTGTAAAATCCAGTTCAATAGATAAAAACAATTCTGTAAAAAGTGTACATCTCGGTTTCCCTAAGTTTTGAAACCCACAGTTTCAGGATTCTTGAGTCATTTTCTTGAAAAAGACTTGGGTAATTTATTTATTTTATACCTTTCAATTTTTACTTCTCTATTTGAAAATTCCAACTTATGTCTTATATAATAGAAAGTCTTATTGAAATCAAGATAGAGACGTCCAATCATTTTTATAAAACTTTAGTTACAATTTGATCTGAAAATTAATTGATAAAAACAAAAACCATGTGTTATAACAGAATGTAAAACTGCTGTGTATTATTCGAGTACAAATTTGGATAGTCATGTAACGATTAACATTTTTGAAATATTTTGGTTAAACCAAGGTCAATGATTACATATAAAGGATAAAGCTACTCAAAAATATGAATAATATGGTGTCATATTGATAACCCCTTTTAGACCCTGACCGACAATGTTATCGAAAATTTGACAGTCTTATACAAGGTTTCTACTTTGAGCTATAACAATGTTCTTGCACATACTTTTATGCATGACGTCGAAATAAAAGAGTTTTGAGTTTGTTTGTAATATGCCTTTTTCAACTAAAATCACAACTTTGTTCCAATTACATACTGCACTAAAATGAATCTAATGTGATCGACAAGTATACAAATAAATCGGTCAACTAACAAAGTATAAACTTCAAGAAAATTCAATTATGAGAGTATAAATATAAGTGGGCAATAAGGCATTAGGGACTTTTGGCCTTTCGACTTAGAAAATGGAATCATGGCCTTTCCATATATGGTTAGAACAAAAAGAAGGACCTTTCAAGAATCAACATCCATTTATTATTATTCAGATTACTACATGAGAGTTCCATCATATAATTATTCACATTTTTGGATTGATACGAATATTTCATTTTAAAAGCAAAGAAGAAAAGAAATATTGAGGCGACAATCGACATTGAGACGAGGGACCCTGAAATTTTAAGACATGATTCTCTTGTTTCATCATTACCCACCCAAAACCTATATTTAGTGAAACCCTTGTGAGACTCCACCACATGCATTACTCCAAAATTAACATCTCTTTGCTTCTTCAATATTTGTAACCTAGCTAAAGCAGAATCAAATTAACCAAAATCAGATCTTAATTCAGTTCAGTTTAATTCTATTTTTTCTAAAGAGAAAAAATGTACGAAAGAGAGTTTGTGTTTTGGTGGATATGGTTATATGTTGATGAATGATTGAGAAAAAATAATAAGAAAAAGTTCAATTTCCTCTGCAAAATAGTGGATGAATCGGTTTAACAATATTCTTTTTAATTAGTTTAGTTAAATGGGTTAAATCATTTTTTCAATTTAATTAAATGGTAAAGATGAGATTAATGTTCACTAGTGATGGATCCGCACGTACGTGCGGGGTTATCTTTACAAAATTACGATTTTTTAAGTAGATGCTATTTTGGTAAAATTTTGTTATATGAGTATATTTGATAAACTATATATAGACATACAGTTGTAAAATATAGATATTGTATTACATAATACAATTTTAAAATTATTTAAATGAAAATGATAAGTGATATAACGTGTTTATTTTTTAAACTAATCAAAACATTTCTAACTGTTTGCTTAGACATGTTAAATCGGATTTGGGTTTAGCTTTAGTTTGAATTGTTTTATGTGTAGTTTATAATGGAAAACCCGTCATGTCCCTTTCCGTCTCGTCCTGACCCGTCCCGTCCCACCCCGCCCCGTCCCGTCCCGTCTCATAAAATCTCCGTCCCATAATCGTTTCTTTTTAAAACATAATCATTTGGCAATGTTTATTATAAAAAACTTGGTAAAAGATTTAGACAAGATACCCGTATTCCTCGTTTAAATATTTATTTTTATCAAACTAATAAAAATCTAATTATCAATCTAAGTCACATGCTCCCACCATTTTCATTCACAAGGCATTGTCTGTAATCCTAGCGTACACAATCCTTGTTCGATTTTTAATTTTATTGATCTTTCATGTTCATCTTTATTTCTCATTACTTTCTTCAATTCAACGATTCATGTTTTAGCCTTTTTGTTTTCTAAAGATTTAAGTATCTCTATTTTTTAATACATGGACTTATTGTAGTTTTGTTATCCGAAGTATACGTTATCTTCTTGTACCCGTCATTTCATGTCTAAATATTTCTAAATATTTG